CCTGGTCACTGCCTCCACCGACGGGTGAGTACGCGAGCCAGAGTCTCCATCCAGAAACCAGTGTTCTGTAACTCCCGGACTCTTGTCCACAGGCCTCAAATATGGCCAGAGGCCTGCCTGGGGGATACAAAGGAAACCCACGATGGACCTGAAATCCCCCGACCTGACCCCGCCACCACCCACCCTTGTGTCACCACTGCCTTAGGCTTTGAGACAGCCGGACGCTGCCGCGTGTACCCGGGTCCCCATGCTTCTAGGCTGCCCCAATCAACAGCTCCATCTAGAGTATGGGAAGACCAAAGGTTTCAAACCAGCCAAGGTTTCAAAGCTATTCTGCTCTTGCCGCCCCACAGACAGCTCTCCCCAGTAACCACACCCCTTGCCTCCATGAGCAGGGAGTTCCTGTGTCCAGATATTTGCTTAGGTCTGTATATTTCGGCCACCATGCCCAGCCTGTCTCACCCACCACTCTTATCTACCCTGTTGTTTTATCCCCACAAGACTTGGGTAGATAAAAGTTCCTCGGAAACTTAGAATACAGAAGTATATGAAAAGCTAACATCTGACAATTGCAAAATATGTTATTTATATTAACATTTTGAGCCATGCTTTTCCATGAAAGCCCCCAAATCTAACAAAGGATAGAATTTTGAGGTTGTAGTCTGTTAAGAGAGATATGTGCTCCTTCAAGCAATACCCTCAAACCACTCCCCTCTTTCCTAACTGGATATAAGTGCAATAACCAGTCGTGAGGCCTGGGGTAGACCATGTCAGGTCATGGGAACTAGGGTGAAAGATAAGATCACAATAAAATAATCTGACTAACCCTTCTTTCTGCACCATTAAGTCTACCCTTCCTAACAGAAACATGTGGAGCTCAAACACAGGGAGAACAACAATCCAAAGCCAGCAGTCTGAATCCAGAGCCCGTGAGTGCTCAAGTCCTTTTCCGCGTTGTAAACGCCTGGACAGTGTACCTCTTTTTGCACTTGTAGGATTGGCTTCGCCATCGCCCGACGTCTGGCTGAGGACGGGGCCCATGTAGTCATCAGCAGCCGCAAACAAGAGAATGTGAACCGTGCAGTGGCCACACTCCAGGGAGAGGGGCTGAGTGTGACTGGCATCGTGTGCCATGTGGGGAAGCAAGAGGATCGAGAAAGGCTTGTAACCACGGTGAGCAGGAATGATGTGGGCGCTGAGCTAAGAGATGGCAGAAAGGAAACAACTTGTACCTTCATCCCTGACTTTTAAGACAGCACTGGTGAGATGCAACCCAGCACTGACTTCTGCCAGCATCCCAGTGCCCACACCCAAACTAGTCCACCAATAATTTTAAAGATTTTTTTTTTTTTTTGGTTTTTCGAGACAGGGTTTCTCTATGTAGTTTTGGAGCCTATCCTGGCCCTCCCTCTGGAGAGCAGGCTGGCCTCAAACTCACAGAGATCCACCTGCCTCTGCCTCCCAAGTGCTGGGATTAAAGGCATGCGCCACCAACGCCTGGCTATTTTTATTATTTTTAATTATGAGTATGGTAGGGAGAGTGCTTGTGGGTGCAGGTGCCTGTGGAGCCCAGAAGAGAGCCTTGACTCGTCTAGAGCTGGTGGTTATGAGCCACCTGATGTGGGTGCTGGGATTGTCCTGAGGTCCTTTGTGAGAACAGTGGTCCTCTTAAGCATCCTCTTAAGCATCCAGCCATCTCCCCAGTCTCTCACCAATACAGTTTTCTTGTGTGCCCTTTTCTGTTACATCTGCATCCTAAAGTCTAAGAACAACCAGATTCTCCCAGCAAGAGAGGTGCTTCAACCTTTTAAGATCCCTTAGACATCACCCCCAAAATGGCTGGACAAAATTCTCTGGGTTGAGCTAATAAATGCTCTCCTGTTCTTTTGCTTATAGAGCTCATGGATGCTTGTAAGAGGCAGCTCACCGTGTTCCACACCTACTATGAGCCATTTCTTTCATGCAGAGCCTTGTGTAGATTTTTGTTGGGGGGGGAGGACAGGTCATTGAGGCAGGATCTGGTGCCAGAGCTAGAGTGGTGTAGAATTCACTTTGCAGCCTAGTCTAGCCATGAACTTGCTTCCCCAGTGCTGGAAGGAAAATTGTGAGCCACCATACCCAAGCAAGGACTGTTCTCCCTATATTTACAGAGACTGGGTCACATAGCTGGAGACACCTCTCTGGGTCTCACAACCAAGCCTACCCTTCTTTTGATGCCTACTGACTAGACACTTCCCCCGTCTATGTAGTGCCAGCCCTTAGATAACCAAATGGTCTTTAGTCTAAGCCCGTATCAGGCATGACCCTTGGCACCAGGCTCCAACTGTATAAGAAAATATGAACCATGCTACAGAGAAGGTTCATCTTCCTCCAAGCCCCAAAGTGCAATCACAGAGAAAGCACAGCCTGTGAACAAACTGGGCAGTTGGCAGAAATAATTTGGGCAGTCTTCTTGAAAGAGGAGAACCTTAAACAACAGTTGACTGAACTGAGAAGGATAAAATAAGATGATTCTATTTTTTATTATTTATTTGTATTTTACATGTATGAGACTTTTTTGCCTGCATATATGTCTGTGCACTGTGTGTGTTCCATGCCCATGGAGTTCAGAAGATGAACTCCCATATCCCTTGGAACTGGAATTACAGACAGTTGTGAGCCACTACACAAATTCTAGATACTAATCCAGGGTCCTCTATAAGATCAACCAGTGCTCTTAACCACTGAGCCATCTCTCCAGCCCCAAGATAATTCCATTTTTAAAGAACTATTGACAGAAACTTAAATGTATTTTGCAAAGGGCCAACTATTCATCCAAGAAAGTTGTATTGCCTGGAATAGACCACTAGAAGAGCCTGAGATTATAGTTTTGATTCTGAGAAGCATGGGCCAATTAGTGACAACTTGTGTGTGTGTGTGTGTGTGTGTGTGTGTGTGTGTGTGTGTGTGTGTGTGTGTGTGTGTGCTGGGATTAAAGGCCAGAAAATATCCTGTGGCCAGGCAGTGGTGGCGCACGCCTTTAATCCCAGCACTCAGAGGCAGAGACAGGCGGAACTCTGTGAGTTCAGGGCCAGCCTGGTCTACACAGCAAGTTCCAGGACAAGTTCCAAAGCTACACAGAGAAACCCTGTCTTGAAAAGAACACACACACACACACACACACACACACACACACACACACACACACGGGCCACCAGCAAGTCCACTTAGCAAATCCTTCAGCCCTGGCTCTGAAGTCCAGCTTGAGTTAAACCTCAAGGAATGAATGGTGATTGGCAGATAGGATGAGGGTGGGGCTCCAGGGACCCTGATAAATGAGCAAACAGCCAAGGACTGAGCCAAGAGCAGGAACTGTGGGGAATAGGCTGCATGGGTGGGACTCAGTGACTTCCACAGCCTCCCAAAAGAGTGTCCATGACTGTGTAGCATATAGAACCCATGTGAAGCTTAGAGCAAGATGAAAATTATCTGGCAATGGTGAGGATTAACATGGAAGACGCTAAGAATGTCAGTGAGGAAGCCATTGGCTGTCATCCAGGTCTAGGGCAGTGGCAAAGGGGCCAGTATGGACTACTCAAGAGACAGTGGGAACGGAAGATTTTTCTAACCACATGTTGAGAAATGAGAGATAGGAAGAGAGGCAAGCCACATACACATGTGGTATACACACACACACACACACACACACACACACACACACACGTGAGAGCACGTGTGGACTCGCGGACATGCACACATAAACATACATAAAAAAAAAAACTACTGCAGAGTCTGTACAACAGATGTCAGGATAGAGAGTGATGGAGTAATCGTCAGCAGTTTGAAATGTTCTCCTTCTGTGTCAGCTGCTACCCTGCAGTAAGAAAAGCAGCTCCCCAACGGTGGTTATTGATCATAACCTCCCACCCTGCACCACAGTTCAACAGTGGTGTGGTGGGACAAGACGTATGGATCTCCCACTTGATAATACTTTGTTTTAAATTAATAACTGTCAGAATAGACAGATCCAAAACACATCGCAGTGATCATACAGTGTGGAGTAAACTCTGAGAGACATCAATGTGGTCTTTTCTCATTAACATTTTTGGGGGTGGCTTTTTATATTGGGGTTTGGGGTTTTGAGACAGGGTCTTGTTCAGCCTGGCCTCAAACCTGTGATCCTTCTGCCTCAGCTTCCCCAGAGCTGGGATCACAAGCGTAGACTAGCATATCCAATTTCTGATGAACTTTTATGGTTCTGTGATGTTCAGCCAGCACACAGCCTTCTCCCTGTCTGTGATGACAGGCCTGAAAAGAAAGGGAGACAGAAGCCAGAAGAGGATCAACACCCTCTGGTGTGGCCCATTACCCTCTCCCCTTCCCAGACATTCACGAGGGTGACATACATCACTTTCCTTCTGTTCTGATCCGTTCTGTTCTTGCCAGTCAGTCATACGCCATTAGGCTTTTTTGCACAGAGCCAAGGCAGGTGACTGAGACTTTGGGCTACAACACCAAAATTTAGAATACATGAGCAAGTAACGGTCCATAGTGGTTTTAAAGGAGTCTGTGGCTTTAAATTTTTGTTAAATGAACGAATTGACAGCCTGGGTATTCCGTTAGCAGTGTAGAAACAACTGAGCTTAGCACCTAGTTAGCGAGAATAATGAGTTAAAAGGATAAGCTAGCAGATGGTATGCGTGGCTAATAACACCCCTCCTCTGCCAAATTGGAGGCACAAAGTTGATTGAGGGCCCATTACATGTTATTTGCCCAAGGCTTCAAAATTGCCAGGTCTAGGCAAATACAAAGCCTGCTTTAAGGTGGCTGCTAACCACGGACCACCTATTTACAAATACTGAGGAGGTGAGGCGACTCCTTTCTTGGTTCTCTCAGTGTAAGCCTCGGTTTCTGCCTTGCCTCTTCTCTACCACTGGGCCAAAAAGAGAAAGGAAAATGACATCAAAGCCAAGTGTGAAACTGCTTCAAAGCCAGACTAGGGTCATTGCCATCGTCACAGCTCTCCTACACAGCTGGTTTCATACTGATCCCAACTGGCTTCTGGAGGGCTCCTGGGAGTCCACTCTCTGCTAGAGCTGGAGTCTGACCTCAGTTCAGCCACCACTTTGTACCCTGAGCGGGAGATCCCAAACACCCTGCTTAGATGTCCCTACAGAATGATAACTGAGTTACAGCCTGGGAAAATCAGCTTCCTTGGACCTAGGTGGCAACACTTCCACCATGAGGAAATTAGGCTAGAATGATCCTTCCCCAGGATCTCTCTTCATTCAGGAAGATGTGGACAGGCTGGCTTTGAGGTTGTGGTAAAACACTCAAGGAAAATGGTCAATAGGTGCTCGAGGAAATGGGGCTGAGACTCAAGAGGAAGTCTCGAAATAGATTTGAGGTGAGAAGTGAAGACATAAGAATGAAGGTGCTCACTAAAGAGAAGTGTAAAGAAAAGGACAAAGGGTCAGAGACGCCCTTAAGGTGAGGGCTGGAGAGATGTCTCAGTGGTTAAGAGCACTGACTGACTTCCAGAGGTCCTGAGTTCAGTTCCCGGCAACCACATGGTGGCTCACAACCACCTTGAATGAGATCTGGTGCCCTCTGCTGGCCTGCAGTCAGAAGACTGCATACATAATAAATAAAATCTTTGTGGGGGGGGGCACAGAAATAATAGCTTCAAGTGTCAGTAGAGCTTAGGGTAGCTTTGGCGAGAACATGCTTCAAGAAAGACATTTGACAACTGCTCCTGAGATGAAACTCCAGTCAACATAGATAAACGCACCTCCCTCCCCTTAGCTGTAGCCCTGACTCACACCTTCTTCCTCTCCAGGCTGTGAAGCTGCATCACGGGATTGATATCCTGGTCTCCAATGCTGCTGTCAACCCTTTCTTTGGAAACCTACTGGATGTCACAGAGGAGGTGTGGGACAAGGTGAGAGAAGATTGAAGCTGCAGCAGGGAGTGGGCCATAGAAACCAGTCAGCACTTGGCCTGTAGAATGCCTTCTTCCAGAGTGTAGATGTGAAGGGCTCACCGAGGGCTTTACCAAGTCATGGGCTTGGGAAAGTGTGAGGGGTTGGGGGTGGCTTCCCGTGTCCTGCTCTTCTCTTTCACCTCTGCTTTTCCCTAGCTTTGTCTACTGTCATTTGCTCTGTGCTAGCCACCTCTGCGTCCATTCCCCACCTCTTTCCCTAGCCTGCTTAACCACGCCCTTCTTCCTAATTTGTATCCAACAGAAACGTGGCAGCTAAGAGACCACCAATACTATGCTTAAACTTACCACCCACCCGTCCCCTTCTCAGCTGTTGGAAAAGAATGTGTTTTCATTAGTTGGAAATGTTAATAACTTCTGTTGGCCGAAATGTCAATTTTGGTGAAATTACAAAAGTTGATGCATTATAGCATACAGCCTTTGAATATGACCTGTTTCTTCTCTTTCTAACTGCACTGCTAAGAAAACTCTAGGCGCCTAAAAGGTGCTGGGATGTTGGTTTTCAGGTGATCATGCCTTGTCACATCATATTCATAAAGTAATTCACCCATCTGTATATACCCAACTGTATACACCCATCTATATACACCCTTTAATGATAAATCTATTCCCACATGATTTGGATATGCTAAATTCTTATGATCTCCATGTGGATTTCTCAGCATGGAAGTTTAAGGATAGCAAAAGAGAAAAAAAAATTGTAGCTTATCAGTGTTCCAAAGATGAAGACCAAAGTGCCAAAATTTCTTCAGTGAGCCAGTTTCTGGTTAAGATATTTTTTCAAGTAAAGAAGCCTCTTTTGGGAGAAATCAAATAAAATCAGTTTGTAGATCAGTAATTTTTCCTCTCCTTTTTATTTGAAAGGATTTTTTTTTTAATTTGTTGTTTTGTTTTTTGAGACAGGGTTTCTCTGTGTCTTTGGAGGTTGTCCTGGAACTCACTCTGTAGACCAGGCTGACCGAGAACTCACAGAGATCTGTCTGCCTCTGCCTCCTGGTGCACCACCACCATCCAACTTAATTTTTTTTATTTTTATGTGTATGTGTTTTGTCTGTGTTTGTATCTGTGCACCACATGCATGCAGTGCTCACAAAGGCCAGAAGAGGGCGATGGCTGACCTGGACGTCAGACCTCCAGAGTGCCTGTCATCCCATGGGGTACCAGGGAAAACCATGGTGTGAATATTCAGCTGAATCCATGAGCTCTAGGTTCAGTGACAGAACCTGTCTCAAAAAAACAATAGGTTGGAGTACCAATTGAGGGAAATACCCTGCACTGACTTCTGACCTCCCCTCCACAAAAATATTAAATAAAGTTGAGCATGAAGGAGGCTGAGGCAGGAGGAGTTGCCATCCTGGGCTACAGAATAAGTTCCAGGATAGCCTAGACTGCAGAATGAAAATATAAAACTGTACAGATGTGTGAAGCGGTTAAGTCAGGCAAAAGGTAAATAACTTGAATCTAGCTAAAGGGTGCTGGGTAGTCACTGTATTTCTATCACAAATGCTCAGTAAGATTAAAATTTTTCAGACTAAGAAGTTAGCATGGGAACACAGAAGGTGAACAGCTCACCGCTTATAACAATGTAACAAGATCATACATTTACATTTAAATCTGAGATATGGGAGCTGTGATTGTAGAGTACACCCCGGCTCCCCAGAGATGTTCCCTCATTATTCTACTTTCTGATAAATATCCATCCAGACAGTCCATCCTGGAGGTCCTCTTGCTCCTTTAATGGTGGAAGCCAAGGAGGCAACAAAAGTCCCCAGATGTCTCAGGTCAGGCTACATATTCCCTGAGAAGCCCAGCCCATTATAGTGTAGGTCCAGCAATGACCCAATTTCAGGAACCCCCTACTTGGAAGAAATACTAAATCCAGCTCAAAACCAAAGCAGACCTGGGAGGTCAAGCTGACTCTGGACTGGCTGGGTAGGAGAGATGCTTCATTCTGTCTCACCGACCCGATGTGTCATTATCTAGTTAGATGAGCTGTGAGAGGCACCTACCCAACCCTGAACCCTAATTTTCCCCTTTGTTAGGTCAGCTATCCCTGAAATCTCCATCAACTCCAACAGGCATTTTTAGGGAACCTATGTAACTCCTCATCACTGTGCCCTTGCAGCAGCCTTCTCATGTTGTCTTCCTTTCTGTTGGCTTCAGGTTCTGAGCATTAATGTGACGGCTACAGCCATGTTGATTAAAGCAGTGGTGCCAGAGATGGAAAAACGAGGGTAACCAATACTGAGAGGAATCTTGGGTGAGATGGGGCCCCACATGGGCAGTGGTCTTTATGCCGAAAAGGGTCAGCTCTCTTTCCTTTTCAGAGGTGGCTCGGTGGTGATTGTGGGTTCCGTAGCTGGCTTCACTCCATTTCCTGTAAGATCCTATAACTTTTACCCTGTCTATCATCCTATCCCATCCACCCCTCCAACTGCCCAAAGAAATATTTTAGCATCATTCTACCAAGTCCTCTCCCACAAAATAGACACCTTGTTTCCATGAACCCTAACCTACCTGAGACTCCAAGGTGACTTCTGACTGTGACCCTCCCTTACAGGAGGTGCCTTTTTGGTTCCTGCCTTTGTTGTACAATAAGAACCAACAATGACCTGCAAAATACTGAACTAACTCATTCTCTTCTCTCCCTAGTTTCTAGGCCCTTACAACGTCAGTAAAGCAGCTTTGCTGAGTCTCACTAAGAACTACGCCGCAGAGCTGGCCTCAAAGAACGTTAGAGTGAACTGCTTGGCACCTGGACTCATCAAGACTCGTTTCAGCAGTGCGGTGAGAAGGAAGAACACTGAACCCCAGACCCTTTGAGAGGACAGGGAGGGCCCGTGCCTGAATCCGGAGCCCCCACCCTTCCCATTCCTGCTGTCTGTGCTTTTGTGAATCCCCTCTCTGTACTCATTACTTCCCCAGACCAGACTCTCACATATTTCTTTCCTACTGGGCTCTACCAAGTGAGGAATTCAGACTGTACCCATATTATATCCTGTCCCCTAAAGTGGATGAGAATTGAGGGGACCAAGCAAGATTCCTGAATAAGATCTAACAAGAGGGTCTGGAGAGATGGCTCAGAGGTTAAGAGCACTGACTGCTCTTCCATAGGTCCTGAGTTCAATTCTCAACAACCACATGGTGTCTCACAACCATCCGTTATAAGATCTGGTGCCTTCTTCTGGTGTGCAGATATACATGGAAGCAGAATGTTGTATACATAATTAATAAATAAAATCTTTAAAAAAAATAAATAAAAGATCTGGCAAGAGGCCCGAAGTGGGGAGAGCAGGGAGTAAAGAAGCAATAAGAGATGAGAATGTGACTCGTCCCTCCCAGTTGCTGTGGGGACAGACAGTTCCCTCCCTTCTCTTCCCATGCTTTCCTCTTCTTACACATAAAAAGATTTCTCTTCTTCCTACAGTTATGGAAGGACGGATCAAAAGAGGACATCATAAAAGAACGCATGCAAATTAGAAGGTAAGCTATCACCGGTGACGATTCATGTGAAAAAAAAAAGACAGAAAGTTCACCCCTGGTTCTAGGCCCTACAGATAACACAGCATGCTCCTTCTAGACTTCACAAATTCATAAATCCAACACTTCTATGACATGACCAAGAACACTGCTTTCATTGCAAAAAGCAAAGTAGAGCTCTCGTTCATTGTCTGCCTCTGCCTTGAACCTGTGGAGACCAGAATCCAGTAGACAGTGCTGTTTCCAATGCTCAGACAGATGATCCTACAACCCAAGTAAAATGACTGTGAAGCCCACTGAGCACAGACTCTGTCTGAGGGAATTTCTCTCTTCCCTAGTGGGCTGGCTGAACTAACTACTCAGACATTTTTGCTAGGTCTCTATTGCTCTGTCACTGCCCCTCTCTCTGCCTCCCGGCTTCTCTAGCTTGGCCTCTCAAGGACAAATGCTGGCAGTGCCTACCTCTTCACTAGTCCAAATATCTTATCCAGCCTTCCTCAAGTTCTCCCAAAGGCATGCTGAAGTTGGGCATGAGTTTGGGGCCTAGATAACAACTTCTTGATAAATCGGGGCATTGCCATTCTGAAGACTCCAGTGAATGATCTAACCCCGTGCATCTGAGTCCTGGCTGTGCTTTTGAATCATCTAGGGAAGCCCTGACAAGTGCAGTTGATTAGGGCGCACTCCCAGGGACTCTTCTTTAATTAGCCCATGGTGGGATTTGCAGGTCTTTTTCTTCGTTTCCTTTCCTTTTCTTTTCATTGAGCCTCCCAATTAACTACTACATGTAGCTAAGTTGGAGAAACACTCACCTAGGCCTCCTAGTCACTTACTCTGTCACCTCTAGAACATACAGAATCACAATACAAACGTTGTGATTCAACACATGCTTATAAAATGAATCTGGTCTTAAAAGGATAAAAATAGATTCCTGAAAAGGATCTGTACATTGAACCTGTACCAATGAAATAACCTGATCCTTCCATTTACTGTCACAAAGATTCTCTGACACTGGAATAGTATATATACATGTTGAGACGATTTATTTTAAAACATGAAATAATTGTTCACCATTTTATCAGTTCCACTTTGCATTCTGGTATCTAAAACCAGTGTTTCTATATTTAAATATAACATGGTTTTGCAGGAATCAGTATTTATGCTTATATAAATTATAATCACATAATCATAACCACCCTATTTAATAGGCAAAAAAGCTGTACACTGATTCTGGAAAATCACCTACCTCTTTTTAACTTTTTTAAAATATGTATGGGTGGATTGGGTTTTTTTGTTTGTTTGGTTGGTTGGTTGGTTGGTTTGGTCTTTTCAGCACAGGGTTTCTCTGTGAGGCTCTGGCTGTCCTGGAATTTGCTCTGTAGACCAGGCTGGCCTCAAACTTAGAGAGATTCACCTGCCTCTGCCTCCTGAGCGCTGGGATTAAAAGCATGCTCCACCACGCCCAGCATGTAGGCATCACATCCCATGGAACTGGAGTTCGAAACTATTGTGAGCTTCCTTGTGAGTGTGTTGGGTCACCTGGACCCTTTGGAAGAGCAGCTAGCCAGCTAACCAATGGCCTTAACCACTGAGCCATCTCACCAGCTCCCATCTGATAATTCTTAAGCAAATGTCATGCACTGTGGGCCAGTTGAGAGAGGCTACCCTGGTTTACATTTGCTCCCTCCTTGTTTCCCAGGCTAGGTAAACCAGAGGATTGTGCCGGCATAGTGTCTTTCTTGTGCTCTGAAGATGCCAGTTACATCAGTGGCGAGACAGTAGTGGTTGGGGGAGGAACCCCTTCTCGCCTCTGAGGACAGTCTACCAGGTCAGAGGTTAACTCCTCCTGGTGGGGGGAGTGCAGTCCACCTTGCCGCTGCCTAATATTTTGTTCACCCCACAAAATCATCTCTACCCAGTAATAAATTTCTGCTTTCTCTATGGTCAAAGTGTGGTCAGATGAGCATCCCTGCTGTTGCTATGGCCTTGTAAATGGCTGGCGGGGGGGGGGTAGAGGGGAGACTTGCTGAGAAGACTGTAGTCCCCCTCAAACCGCGCCTCCCGCCCCGGTCTCTGGAGAATTTGAGGGAGATAGAAGGGGTCTGGAGTGGAAGGAACAGAAATGGAAATTAACAATTTACAAATAAAACGAACATGATCACGTTGCTCTCTGAATCAGTGTATGCTCGTTTCTCAACATAAGGTGCTTAGAGTATCTGAGAAGTCTGGGCAGTGCTGGGTCTCTGGATTTTCCCCAAGCCTCCTCCCAGTCTCCAAAGCCTGGGCTTGATGCTCAAGGGTGGAGGTGTCTGCGGAGCTGCCAGCTTGGGGGGGAGGGGGGTGGAGAGGCTCGGGAACTCCCAAGTGCTACTCTTAGCCTCACACCCCCAGGGACGGTGCCAAGGACGCCACGGGGATCCCCGAGACTAGACTAGCGAGCAGAAAAGAACCAACTCCCTCCCTCACATTCGGACAGGTCTTCTTGCAGCATCGCCCTTGATTCAGAGTTCCCTCCAGGGTCAGCAAGGACGAGCTGGCCGGTTCCTGAGCTGGAAGGAGGGGGGAAGGCGGGGCCGTGCAAGGATGACCCGGGGAGGGGGTACCAAGGCACATAAACAAAGAAATAGAAGATGCTGCTCCAGGTGGCTGAGGCGTGGGTGGCACGGCAAGTGGAAACGCTGCACCCCGCCCCTGAGCTAGCTCGGACATCAGGCGCTGCGCTCTGGGCTCCTCACGAGGTAGCCCGCGGGAGGGGTCGTCGCGAGCGCGCGCGGGGTCTCACGCGGCTCCGAAGCTCAGCGCGCATGCTCCATTGGCCAACTCTCCGGG